ACTTGTCATAGTAGGCAAAGAAAAATTAACAGTAGAAATTGAGTCCAAGTAAATCAACCACTTTTTTTCCATGATGGTGACACCAGGGGAAAAAAAAACCTGTTTTTTTTTTTTTTTTGTAAAATGCAAAGAGCTAAAACAGTTTATTCTCAGTAAAAAGTTTGTGAATATCTGACAGAAATAAAGTCAATCAGGTAAGCAATGAGCGAAGCTGCTGCTGCTTCTCTTCTGTTTCTGCTTATTAACAGCAGGTGTTCATCATCAGTCCTCAATCATCACTTAATTAACCCCATCATTGTCTCATTAACTTTAACTCTGCTGCTGAGTAAATTTTGCCCAATTTAGAAAGGGACCAAATATTCTCTGAACTGAGTAAATTTTACTCCAATGATTTTACTGTGTAGTGCCCGAAGAAAGGACTTGACCGCAACACGTTCAAGTCCGCCGAAGAATGGTTCCAAAAATTAAAATAAACAAGTAAATCACAGGGTGAGAATGTGGTAAATTCTGAAAACGTGGTTAAAATCAGGCTGCCACGAGGGCTTTTCTTTTTTTTTGACCGCTTTTGAAAACACTGCAGTTCGGTTTAGGGAAGTAGGTGGGAACGGGTCAATTGGTGCTTTTTAAGAGAGTAATGCCGAGTTCAGACTGCATAATTTTCAAACTAGTCGTGTTACAGGTGTTTTCACACTGCATGACTATCTGGGCTAGCGTTTCGTCGCTGCTTTGTTTACACTGCAAGATGGTTCGGCGACATGGACATTCACATTGCATGACTTTACTATAGGGAGAATCGCCGACAACTTCGTCCAAACTACGTCTCACAGCCAAAAACATGTAGTATATCTTTTGTTATTAACTACATAATGAGAAAGAAGCCTTTAATGGGGTAGAACATGTACATATTTGCTCACCTGGGTTTAAAGGGAATTAGCCATTTCTCCTTACACGGCATGATTTGAATCGCCGACAGCTCCAGATATTCGGCACGCCAAATACCTCACAGGCATCGGCGACTCATCGGCAATTCTCTCAGATCGCGTCTTTGATAGTTCATACTGTGGGATTGTCACTCACGTGCACGAGCAGCGATTTGCCTGTGATTTCAAGCATTTGTCGGCGATTTCTCAAAACCTGTCGGCGAGCCAAAATCGGGGTTAAAATCACGCAGTCTGAACTACGCATAAGAAAGAGAGAAATTTGAGATCTCAAAAAGCATACAAAAACAGCAAAAAAACAAAAACAAAAAAAAACAGTATATATATATATATATATATATATATACCTCCTGGGATGTGTTTTGCTCTCTCCAGAAACGCATATAGAGGTACATAATTAGAATGAGTCTGGGTTGGACAGAATTGTCATTTTAATGATGTTATGTTTCATTAAAGAGGACATGTGAAGCTTCCTTTTGTGTAATACATCTATGTGTAATATGTGTAATATATCTGTTTGTGCATGTTTAATACGATCTGCAAAGTTCAAGTTTCCTACAAAGAGGATTTATTCTATTTAACAGAGAGGAGATTCTCCCAAGACAAACACAAATCCAGATATTATTTGCGCGAACATCTACAACACAATTTAAAAACATTAGCATAATGCCACCCAAAGGCATGTGCAAATAAAAAGTCCAGGCCTCAGTGAATTGTAGTGTTGTTCTCATATTATTCTAATGCTTTGAGTTTCCAGAGAGTTACAAAACAATTTACCAGATTGTTTGAGAGTTTTGCTTAATTTGGGTCATATATAGAGGATGTACTCTAACATTATGCCAGGATTTGGTAAGTTCCTTATATGAGCAGCTGTACTGGTGAAACTTGGGTGTAAATAGCATGATTGTACAGTTAATGTACTACTGAATATGTTGTTCTGCCTGTTTATGCTGTTAAAATGATGACGTGTGTGGAATAATACATTCAGTTTGTTCAACTTTAAAGATTTTCTCAGTTTTTGGATTTTATTTAACCCCCAGATTCCAGGTTTTCAGATGTCTGTATCTCAGACAAATGTTATTCTATCCTAACAATCTAAACAAATCAATATTATTTATTTAGATTTATCAATTTCCCAAACCTTACCATTATGACTAGTTTTGTTGTCATATATTGTTGAGGTTAGCACATTTTTAACTACATTTTTAATCAGTCTCTGGAAAAAACAGCATGTACCAAAAATTTGGAAGAACACTATTGTCATATTATGTCAATACCATGTCATACCAAGTCCAGTAGCCTCTCAACTTTAAATGTTTTAAGGCCTGTGGCTCTGACTTCTATTCCTATGGAGATTTAAAAAAAAAAAAAAAAAAAGATTAGGACAGAAATTTTTAAAAGTACAGAACAGTTCTTGACCCAATGCAGTTTGCATACAGGCCTATTAGAGGTGTGGAAGATGCTATCACTCTGTTGCATTTACTTTTCAAGAATCATGACGGTAAGGGGGCTCATGATCGGCTTTCATTTCTAGTTTTTTCTTCAGCTTTTAATACAATGTTTCCTCATATTTTGATCCAGAGACTTTTAGATTATTTTCAACTAAGCAATGATCTTGTTGGCTGGATTTTAGGCAAAAACTGCAAATAAACAGTTCCTGCTGAATGCCCGCTCTTCCACCGGATCACCTCAGGGGTGTGTGTTATTCCCACTTTTATTTGTTCTGTACACAAACATGTGTCAGAGCACATTTGAAAATCATTTTAATTTTAAAATATGCAGACGACACTGTGATTGTAAGCCTCCTCCAAGGAGATAAAACTAGTTATGGTCCCATAGTGGATCATGTTGTTCAGTGGTGTGAGGAGTCCAATCTAAAACTTAATGCAACAAAAACTAAGGATATGATTATTGAATTTAGAAGGAATCATACAGCAGATGAGGCGACTAATATTAGGGGTCAAATAGTAGAATGGGTGGAGAACTACAAATATTTGGGAACCATTATTGACCGATCTTTAAACTTTAAGGTAAATTGTGATGCTGTGTGTAAGAAGGGGCATCAGCTCCTATATTGTCTTAGGAAACACGTTTTCACATTGGCCCCAATAGGCTTACTCTTTTTCTATTGTGCTTTTATTGAGTCTATTCTATCCTTCGCTCTGGTGGCATGGTTTGGAGGTCTGTCTCTCAAAAACAGGAATAGATTGAGCCAGGTTATTAGGTGCTCTAGCAGGTTGATTGGTGAATCACAATCAGTATTGTATCCCTGTATTGGCAGCTTTAACGGATTGCCCAGAACATTAGTAGCTGTAGCTTTTATCCTCTGTTTGAGGAGTTTATCCTGCTCTCTTTGGGTCGAAGGTTTTAGATGCTTTTTAGTAGGGCAAAATGGTTTAGAAATACTGTAGCTTTTTCCCATCATCTATTGTTGCTCTGAATAAACTGTAATCTTTTAGGGTACTTTGTATGCGTATATGTGGGTATGTATATGTGTGATTTAATTATTTGTATCAAATGCCAAACTTAGCTGCAAAAACAATCTTCCTACGAGTACAAATAAAGTTAACTCATATGTCATGTTGAGAAATTATGCTTGAGAGTTACTATTATGCTTTAACTTACAACCACAAACTTTTGTCATGTGACATTTACTGAGCAATAAACAGATAAACTGTGCAGGTAACGAAAAATAAATAAATAAATAAATAAATAAAAATTCTTGCAACCACAATTGCCAAACAATGCTTTTGAAAAGCATGCCCTTGCATGTTCACTCTTACTGCAAGAATGTAACCTGGGCTTAAAATGATTTATTAGCAACACTAGAATTAACTGTTTGTGATTATAAACGCAAAAACATTGGAAGCTGTAACTGATGATTTTTGTTAGGTGTGCTACATTTCCTGTACATGCTGAAGCCATTTGGCCAAACAAAGCTGTTGCTGTCAGCTGGCCAATCAGAGTACTCTGGACTTCTGGGGAGGCGGTGGGGGAGGAATGGGGTGCTTTATAAAAACAAAACCAAATATGAGTGTTTCAGACAGAATCAGTGTTTGTTTAATGTCATCATGTCTGATACTGCAACTGTTGGGTAAACCAACGCTGTCATTCATGTATCAGTCAAATATATTTTATGAAGAAAAAGTTCAGGACAATATTCTTATAAATGTCACAAACAACTTGTTCTCATTTCATTCATTATAATACATACTGTTTTCGTCTGACAAAACAATAATTATAAGACTTCTTACCTTCTGTATTAATGCTAAAAGCCACACATTTGGTTAAAAATGGAGTAACCCAGATATTGGGTTAAAAAACTATTTAAAAGTTTCACTTGATCTATTTTTTCCTCCAGATTTTTCTTTCCGAATTTGGGTTGGAACAGTATTTATTTATTTATTTATTTATTTATTTATTTATTTATTATTAGCAAATATTACTATTAGCTAAGTTAAAATGTAATAATAACGCTGCAAGGTTTTCCTAATAAGTATTTTATTAAGTGCCATTTTAAAGGGTTAAATAATAATAAAAAAAATCTAACAATATTTATAGCCTACTAAAATATTTAAAACAGAACAAAACAAAAAGAAAGTTGTAGCTATTTGTTAACGTGAATAAACTGTGACATACATTTTTATATTATATCATTAACAAATAAATAACTTTAAAATATATTGTTCATTGTTAGCTATGCATTAGTTAAATGTTCTAATCTTATATATATATATATATATATATATATATATATATATATATATATATATATATATATATATATATATATATATAAACGCTACGATTACCACAATGAATGAATGAATGAATAAATGAATGAATGAATGAATGAATGAATGAATGAATGAATGAATGAATGATCTATTGCCATAAATGTAGACTATGTTTCTTGTTTACTGAACCTAGACACTGCTTTCACTTTAAACTCTATTATGATAACCCAATTGCACTGAGTGTAATTAATGGTGTGATTTAGTAGATCGTGTAATTCAGTTAATAGTGGTTGAGTGTTGACGTCAGGCTGATGATGCGGGCGCGCGCTCGCAGCTTCACTTTGAGCACTTCATTGTACTCGTGCGCTGGAACTCATGAGTGTCACCGCAGTTCAGTCACACCAAATCTGAAAAGCAGATTGATACTCGCCGAGGGATTCATCTTGCATCAATCCATTCACGATTGGATTACGCGTTAAATCCTGCGCCGGGATTCAGTTTCGTTCTTCTGAAGATGCCCGCTTGTGGATCACAGATTGGGGACTTTCGTGGAATTAAACGTGCTAAAGGTAAATCTGTTTTAATTTATTTCCCAGTTCTGACCTTTGGTTCTAGTTTAAATGTTGTGTTTGGCAGTTTATTCAAATATTATGTTGCTTTTGCTTTGTGGTTTGGAGAGTTAATAGAAGTAAAAGCGATTTATTTTCTTGTAGAGATCATTAAACAGTTATTTTTATGTCGAAAAAAGTAACACCTAAAGTAAATCTACCAGCTTATGTAGGTTAGTCTTGCGAAAGAAACTCTTAAAAACATGTTTTCTGATTGCTTAACCTCAGTCTTATCAATGCAGTGATAGGGCAAAACAGTATGTCGCCTGCACTGTGTAAACAAATACCTAAAGAAATCTTTAAAACTATAAAATGTTTTGGGTGTAATATCTAATAACGCACGCTAAACTTTCACAATCGTGTTGCAGTTTGCCTTTAAACGTACCCCAAATCAATGCAGTTTTAAATGTGTTTATAAGATGACAGAACACGTATCTAAATAATGTAGAATGAACACTTTCATTATCTTGTGAACATAAATCCACGCGCGGAGAGACGAGCGCAGCAGACTGCGCGTGGTACGAGAAATGACAGGAATCACGGACAGTTTTTGAGGTTTGATTCACCCAGAACTCGGGTTGTATATTAACTTAATTACACTCTAATAATCTAATAAAATTAGGATATCATTTATTGATTTTCTTATCGTCATTTTAACATAGATATTTACCAAAACATCACCAATAACGCAAAGCACGAATTGACAGGATCGCATGCAGTTCAAAATGTATTGATAAGCTGGTAATTGTGACCTTTATTCTGACTGCTATTGATATTTAGATATGCTGAAATGTTTCTTCATCGATTGTACTAAAGGCTTTCAGATAAAACAGCTGTTTTGTCGGTTGTTGGTTGGTTCTGTTCTACTTACCTTTGCTAAAAACCGTTAACATAAACCTTATGTAATAATTTGGGTTATTGATTGCCATTGTTAAAGCCAAAGTTTCAGAATAAATACTCTATGGCTAGTGTTTCAAAACCTTGGTTATGTTGACAACTTTTTTGTCATCAGTGTTTAGTCTCTGATCCGTGTTCAAGTACCTAAAAACTGATTTAATACTGCAGTTCCATTAACATTTACTGTTATTGTAGTATTCACCATTTTTTAGATGTGCGTCACCCATTAAAACAATACACAAACCTTCAATATTTTGCCATCTAAAATGTCAACTCTTTAATATGCTTAAATATTTTTATTTGCATAAATTTACACTGTTTGCTTAATTTTTGTATACTTCACTTCATCAAACTATTAATGTCACTGCACAACTCATTTACTAAATGCATTTTTGGACCAATTTCTTTTGGTTAAAGTTAATCTAAAGCTCGTGTTCCTGCACAGCACACTCATCGCATTTTAATGATAACCAATGCGCAAAAGGTCAATCAGACAATTACGATCCCTTCTAAAGGGTAATATAAATATATATTTGTATAACATTGTAAATAAATATATAACTCTCGATCATGTTTTGATCTTGAGCTTACTTCAAAATAATAATAATGTGTAATTGCACTTTACACATCTTTTTTTTTTCACACATATTGAAAGTCATTGCGATTCAATACAACACTGGAACCCTCAGACTTTAACTCTATCGATGCAAAGAAATACAGATTGAAAATAACAATACTTTCAAAACCCTGACATTTTAACCTAACTTGGTTAATTGTAAGCAAATACACCAGCTGAACAGATGCCATTGAGCTGAATGGCGATGCTAATGGACAGCTCTCTCCAGGTATTATAGACTTCCTTAATGAAAGTCAGCCTAATTGAGTGGATAACAAGCTAAGCTGGAAACACTGGTTGCTTCTACGTCATAGATGTGTATCTGAACCCAACATCTGCTTTCTACTGGTGACTCGGAATTATCTACAGTATGAGTGTACACATGTTTACTATGTTTGCAATGCAAACATAAACCCATTCAGACTGTTTTAATGCTTGAGGAGATCTGGAGTGTGAACCATCTGATGCATTCAGACATTTACAGGTACTTCCTTAAGGCTACGACATCAACAGAAGCTGTTACAAGACAAGATAGGGTTTCATAACAAGCAATTAAGTGCTAGAGAAAAGGTCTTTCGGTTCAGAGAGCTCGATCTAAGGCATGTTATACTTGAATAATTTAAAGTAATTTAGGCCTTGTTTAAATTTACCAGCTTACTTGATCTGACACTATTTAATTTAGGGTGATTTTGATATCATTTTCCTTCCACGTTGAAATCCAACGTGAAATCAACAACTTTCTTAAAAGCACAGTTCACCCAAAAAAATGTAAATACTGTCATCATTTACTTATCATCCACTTGTTCTAAACCTGTTTGAGTTTCTTTCATCTGTTGAACACAAAGGAAGATATTCTGAAGAATCTTGGGAAAAACAGCCATTGACTTCCATAGAAGTTTTTGTTCCGACTTTGGATGTCCATTGTTGTTTTTCCCAGAATTTTTCAGAATATTTAGTTTTATTTAGTTTTTTTTTTCAACAGAAAAAAATAAATTCATAAATAGAGCTGCAACAATTATAGATTTTGGTTGTACAATTATAGTCTGAGAAAAAATCACGGTTTCACGGTTAATATGCAATTATTACATGCAAGCTCCTTTTATTTTAAAGTGGTATTTATTGCTACTCGGTAAGCAAATAATACAGCCCAAAATAATAATAATATTAAGAAGAAAACAAACAATAATGCATTTCTCTTTTTGGACAAGTTTTTGACATTTAAACATACCGTAAGTAGTAATTTTACACTGATAATATTAATGTTATTCATTCAATAATTTTCTTTTTGTCCCTTTATTAATCTGGGGTTGTCACAGCGGAATGAACTGCCAACTTATCCAGCATATGTTTTAAGCAGCGGATACACTTCCAGCAGCAACCCATCTCTGGGACACATTTATACACACTCATTCACACTCATACACTACAGACAATTTAGCTCACCCAATTTACGTATACCACATGTTTTTTGGACTGTGGGGGGAACCGGAGCACCCGCATGAAACCCAAGCGAGCATGGGGAGAACATGCAAACTACACACAGAAACGCCAACTGACCCAGCTGTGGCTCGAATCAGTGACCTTCCTGCTGTGAGGCGATTGTGCGACCCACTGTGCCACTGTGACACCATTAATGTTATTATTATCAATAAAATAAAGGCTACTATTAACTTAAATTAACTGCTGTTATCATCTGCTTTTATCGTCATGTGTACGTTGTTAATGTTGCACTGAAAGTCACGCTCAACTCTCACCACCACAGCATTGATTCTGAAATTAAAATTTAATTTCCAGCCAACATATTTCATTCAAGTAAAGCTGTGGTCACACTGGGCTTTTCTCCCCAAAGACTTCCATTCATTCGCAAGTGAATGCGTCAGACCAGAAACGCAAGCACGTGCGACAAGTTTTGAAGTTAACTGCTTTGCAAAGTTCAAGCTTGGTGAACTCTGACCTGCAAAATCTCATCACTTGACTTAGTCGTTTACTTTTTTAAATGTCTAATCCCGCCCCTTTTTGTAGTGCCATACTACAGATTTTTGCATGCTCAAATTCGAGTGTGACAGCAGCATAATTTGTCACAAAATTTGTCAGAGAGCAAGCGGAAAAAAGAAGAAAATATTCAATACAAAAAAAAAAAAAAAAATCTTTGCTACTTTTGCTGATAATGCTAAATATAGAAATCCAACATCTTGTACAACATGTCATATTTATTTTCAATTAACGATTCAACAATTCACACGTAAAAATGTTTCATTGTAGGTGGATCATTTTTGAAAACCTATTCGGCTACATGATTTTGATGGTTGTTTGTCGCCACCCATTGGTTACACAATGCTATGACATTCACCATCGTCAAGTTCCATTAAACGGTGAGTTTAATCCTTACCATAAACATCAGTGTTTATTTCTGAAGTATCTATATGGGAAATACTTGTTATCCCAGTTCGTCTGTGTTAGTTAATTCTTGACCTTGTAATAATAAGGTTCTATCTGCGTACTGAATGAATTTGAGATATTGAGCTTCAAAGTTTTTGCATTCCATATACCAAACAGTATGTGTGTAACATGTTTTTTAAGTAAAAAGTCTAAAAACATGTAAACATCTTATAAAAACTTCCCATAATGTAAATAAGTTGTCATTTAATAAGAATATGTCTCAGTTTTGACAAAATGTCCGATAGAACTGTTAGAACTGAAAAAGTGTAAAAACTGAATCTCTCGATCAAACGCAAATTTGAATGGATCGCTTTGAAGGATTAACAAACATAGCAAACCATTATCCTTTATCATTCATGTTGTGCGGATTTGAATCACAGTCTTGTTTAATAGTGCAGCTTTTTTTACTGAATGCATTAATACAGGCTAAACAAACAGTGACAGAAAACACTATCTAAGACACTAACACTAAGCTAAGAAAGAATTTAGGTAGGTCCCAACACAACTTTTTTCGTCATCATTATATTTTACAGGGAAGCCAAAATGCTTTCATATGCGTGACTTAAATGATGCGGGAGACGATCTCTTTGCAATTGTTGGATGTTGGATGAACCTACAAGTTAAAAAAAGTTATTAATTCATGGGTCACATGCGTTCCAAACTGTGGTTTGTGCTCTTCGTTACACCCCATTAGAGGCCATTCACATATTGTGTCTAAAAGTGTGTGGAAAGCGCAAGCTTTTTGCTTCCTTCACCATTTTCAATGCATTGCTGATCACAGCATTGTAAAAGTGAAGATGTTTTCAACTAGGTGCGCTGCATGCCTTCATTGGAAGCAAAGAATTTGCGTGCACAAAAGACACAATATGTGAACAACTTCATGCTCCTAGCTTCAGTTAATCCAGTGTGTCTGCGTATTAGCCTCGATGTACATGCTCGGAATTTTGAACTAGCGCACAGTTGACAAATTTAGTTGCAGCAATTTTGTTCCATCTTACAGAAACGTGCT